GGATGAACCGATTAATAACGATAAAATTAGCAGTCATGAACTTGTGACTGATAATAAATATCTCACACTGCGACTGCATGCAGGCAGGTGTGAGCTCAAAAGTGAAGCTCCATGAAACAAATAATAATCATTCTGTCAGAACCCTGAGAACAGAATGGGTCATGGAGAAAGTAGAAACATCACATAGATAACAAATAATTGAACATGGCGATGACCAGGCAGCCGCCATACAAATATCCTCTACTGTCATCCCTCCATGCAGAGCCATGGAGGATGAAAAACCTCTGGTGGAATGCACCGAGATTCTCTGGAGGATCCAGTCCAGATGAACTGTAAGCTCAGAAATAGCCTCACACAACCAGTGTGAGAGGCGCTGGGTGGGTACAGGACATCCTGAAGAGCTGTCCCAGTAATGCACGAACATACGCTGAAAACGGCGCAGTGCAGCCATGTGCACCACGTAACATGAAAAATGCGCGCATGGGACAAAAGGAGGTGAGATGTTGCTTCCTCCTTAGAATTATGAGGAAGAAGATAAAAACCCATCCAAGGTTATCACTCTCGATCTGAATGAGCTTGTGATGCTTTTCAGAGCAGGGTTAAAAACGCAGTACAGCTGAACTGCCGTCAGCTTGAATTCTGAGACATGAGAGAGCAACAAAGAGAGCAAACAAACACTCACTCTCTTTGCCAACGTCAGAACTAACAGCAGGGCTATCCTGATGCATGTTCAATAATCCAGGTAGAAAAATCCCAAAAAGTTCAAGGTGGTCCTCTGGACATTCAAAAAAAACAAAACAAAGCAAAAAAATATAGAAACGTTTCGTCTCTCATCCGAGAGACTTCCTCAGTCTGAGGTGCTGTATTCAGCTCAGTCTCTTAAATAGCACCTTCTCAGAGTGGATCAACCAGTTTGCTGCTGACAACCAAAACCAGCTGCTCACATGGTCACGAAGGACCATCAGCCTAACAATGGATCATTAGCACACTGATGGCTTTTTACTATTCACAGGGGGTTGAGTGATACTAGCAATAACAGCAGTGTAAGAGGGGGACAGTTGAACCCGGAGGCCTCCAACCCCTGTTTAATGATGGATGATTTCTTTTCACAAAGATGGCCTCCTTTACTCCTCTCTCAAACCGTCGTTCCTCTCTGTCCAGGATATGAACATCTTCATCCCTGAAAGAGTGACCGCTGGCCTGGAGATGAGTGTAGACCGCAGAATCCTGGCCTGATGATGTTGGTCTTATGTGCTGGACCATGCTTTTGGCCAGTGGCTGTTTAGTTTCCCCGATGTATGATCACAGCCCTCCTGACACTGAACAGCATATACAATATTACTCTGCTTGTGCCGGGGGACTGGATCTTTGGGATGAACCAGTCTTTGCCGTAATGTATTTTGGGGTTTAAAAGCCACTGGGACGTTAGGTTTAGAAAAGAAATGTCTCAGTTTCTCTGATACTCCCTCAACATAAGGAATGACCACTGGTCTGGGTCTGGGTTCCTCCTTTTCACTTGATGGCTGACTGGAGTCCTGTTTGAGTTTCTTCTCTGTGTAGTGAACTAGGCCTCCTACCAAAACCTGCCTCTGAGGACATTCATGGGACAGGAACTGTTATTTCATTGATTTGAATCCAGAAATACAAATGAGCTCATCCAGAGACTTTCTAATTGTATCCTGAACTAATCAATTGAAAGAACACTCTCTTTTTTATATTATCATTACTATTTTACAATATCTTGATAATCAAAAGTGTGTTTAGTTCATACCATTTTTAAATGTTGAAGTGAACCACTCATTTTAAATCAATTGTGAAACAGTATTAATGATTTTTTAATCCTCATTCAAATTAGAAATCAAGTTAAATGTCTATTTTACAAAGTAATTATGCATTTTTTGATCTTCTGTCTGAAATGAGAGAGTGATGTCGGTCAAAAGTTGGAGACAGTCAAAAACAAGTTGTTGGAACGAGCTGTCGTGTTTTAAAGCTCTCAGACAGTAAGCAAGAGAACTGGCACCTGCAGTGTTAGTCACTTCGCCAAAACCTTTCTCTGTCTGTTCCTAAACATTTCTGCTGTTTTCTTGACTTGAAAAAACCCTTTGACGTCACTAGAACCACACCCCTGTTGGTTGCTTCAACCAATCAGGACTTACTAAAAGTGACCGGAAGCAGAACTCTTTAAAAGTCGACACTTCCTGGAACTGTCAGTCTCTTCTGAACTCTTCTCAGTCTCTTCTGGGGTACTGTGGAGTAGTTATGGAGTTTTTCCACTGCTGAGTGGAACTTCGGACTCAGTTTCCAGTCTGATGGAGCCATCCATCTCTGCAGGAGCCACGACGCCTCGCTGTGGCTCCACCCGGCGAATGCCCTACAACTTCTGAGGAAGTTGTTCTGTAGGACGGAGTATCTCACGACTTCTGCCGAGTCGCAGCCACCCTGAGGAGACGCTGAAAGGTAGCGTGCCAGGGACCTCTTGACCGCAGTGGGCCCATCCTCTGCCAAGGTAAATAGTCGTCCACTACACCTGGTGGAGGGGCCTGGCGGAGGAGCAGGGCGTGAAGTCGTTGCCGCAGCTGTGAAGTGCCTCTGGTGCTGTTACTGGCCAAGGCGGTCCCTCCAGCGGCCGGAGGGGCAGATGGACTGTGACGTCACCAGATGGTGTACAGTCTCTGAGACCTCCTCGGACCTCTGTGATTCCTTAAGGATGATCCTGAAGTTGACCCCCCCGAACAGCTTCTCTGGGGTGACGGGGCCCTCCAGCAGGTCTTTCTGCAGCCTCTCAGACACGGATGGCGAGAGGCGGAGCTAAGCGGTCCTCTGGATCATGGTCATCCAGGCGGCGAAGCGGGACAGGCAAATCACAGAGGTGGCACATGTTTAAGATTACATCAGCAGCTTTACAGAGAGAGCTCTTTGTCTCCTCCAGCAGGTCTGCTTCTTCCAAACTCTTAGAGATGCTGTAGGCCAGCAGGGCAACGTTGTTGTTCACTGCGGCCATCTGGGATAATCACAGGTGAGCTCGGTTGGAGACCTTGTCACATCTGGTCATGCTTCCCTGGAGGTACAGGTTGCTGGTCCATCCTGGAAGCATTTTCCCCAAGTGCCACCGCCAGGCTTGGCTCCAGGGTGGGGAGGTGGACCGAGGGTAAAACACCGATCGGTAAAACCCTCCACTCTGGAGATAGAGACGAAGGTGGAGACGGCTGTCTTCAGCTTGCCAGCCCAACTGCAGCCTCGTTCCAGTGTGACGTCACAACTGGACAGCGAGGCCAGATGGGGTCAGAGCAATGAGCCCGGGCGGAGCCAACCTTGCTGCTAGATCATCCTATCAGGGCGGAGGGAGGCGGGGGATGGAAAGTCCCAACATCCTCCTGGATTGTGTCGGGCAGCTCCGAGAGGAGGGCACCGACGGCTGGGAGAGGTGTGGTCGCCGACGTGGGAAGATCCGAGGTGGTTGAGCATCCGCTCGGCCGCTCGTCTTCCGTCACTACGCTCTCCAGCAGGGAAGGGGCAGCTCTGCATGGCCTTTCTTGGAGGAGTAATTCGGTTCACTGCGTGACTCTGAGTCAAAGAAGGTGGTGGCATCGTCCCGCACATAGCGTCCCGCCACAGAAAAAAACATTCAGCGGAGCTGCTGCCAACAACGCCTTTTTTGAAGAAATCATCCGATTTACCTCGAGAGAAAAAAAAAAACATTAGAAAAAGGCAGTGGCGTCATCCAATGAGTAGTGGCCCTCCACGGAAAAACATTCAGCGGGTCTGCTGCTAACATCGCCTTTTTGAGGAAATCATTCGGTTACCATGAGGAGAAACACATTAGAAAAGTGTGTGTGTGGGTGTGTGTGTGTGTGTGTGTGTGTGTGTGTGGGGGGGTCCAAATGAACGTTTTTTAAATGGTGGGGGGGGGGGGGCTTGTCCCCTTCACATATAATGGTTGCGATGCCTATGTGTGACGTGCGGGTTCCTGAGAGGCCACAGACAGACCAGCTTCAGCTTTTGTTCAGTTCCTGTAGTCCTGCAGTTTTCAAGCTGAAATGAAAAAGCATCATGAATATGAACTTTACAGTCTACCTGTACATATAAACACATGGAGGTGTCTCACCTTGTGACTGACAATAAAATATGTAACTTTATGAACATTAATGAACTTATAATGATGCACCTACTCTTTGAAGGTGAACCGATGGTACCACACCATCTCTCAGTCGGACAATTTGATCAGTTTTATCAAAATCCTTCTGTTTAAAATCCTCACTGCTCAGATGAATCCTCCTCAAATATACTTCCACCTCTTCCTCACATCTTTTTCATTGGGAAACCTTCAAAATGAAAACAGGAGATTTGTGTCTACACAAAAACATTGTACAAAGGAGGTCAATCTTATAACTACTTCCTATATTCTCCCTATTTTTAATGTTTTAATTTCTTAGAACTTAAACAAAACTCCAATTTTGATGCATATCTGTTGATAATGATAATGAACCAAAGCTACTAAAATAGTGAGTATGCTTGTTAGAAAAATATCCCTGTCATCAGATCTCAGTCAGCTTCATTGCAGCTGAACACCGTGTTACACTGAACATCACATCAGCTGGTGGACATAAATACAGTACAGTAATATTATTATTATATTCACAAAATACTAACATGTTCATCTTACTTGTGAAAAGTTATCCCCCGAGACCTGATGTCAACAGTCCGTCGATTTGAACAGAAATAAGCTGCGAAATGCTGAAACATGTTCTGCTTTAACCAAATAAGAAGGACGACCGCTCCAAGATGGCGGCAGAATTTCCTGCGCTGCAGCAGCCAATGAGGGATCTAGTGATTATATGATATCTATGATCAGGTCCGTCTTGAAACCTAGCCCATGATCCTCCACGGCAGCAGGTGGCAGTGTATGCGCGTGTTCAGCGGACACACGCACCGGACGTTCGTGCTCATTTTCTGTGTGTAGTTCACCACCAGCACGAGTTTGTTTTGGAAAGTAGCTCAGGACACTTAGAGAAGACTTCTCCGAGGAAACATGAAGTCCCTGAGGTGGATGAATTCCTGGCTGCAGCGGCCCGGCTGTCAGAGAGCAGCTACAGTCTGTTGCAGGCTCACATGTCCGCCTCCCCTCCGGAGACAACCTTCCTCCCTGCTGCTGTCCACACCGCCCACCTTCTCAGCGTGCAGGCTGAAGGACACCTTCAGCGGCTCGTATATACAGCAGGAGGAGGACATCCTGGAGGACAGCGAGGTGGAGGAGCTGTTCGAGCAGCAGGTTCCAGCAGGGCCAGGAGGACAGCTCAGGGTGTTGATAGTCCACCCTGATGTGAAGTGGGGGGCCAGGAAGCAGCACCTGACCACCGGTAGGACCAATTCACTTTCAATTCAGTTTATTTAGTGTCAATTCACAGCACAGTTGTCTCAGGGCACTTTACAGGAACATTCACATACATAGAAAATCCAGTTAGTAAAGTTGAGGAAGAAGGAATCTAGCAGACATGTTGAATCTTCACTTCATCACAGTCTCCCATCCTGAGCAAGCACAGTGGCAACAGTGGAAAGAAAAACTCCCTTTTAACAGGAAGAAACCTCCAGCAGAACCAGCTCAGGACAAGCAGCCATCTGCTTTGACTGGCTGCTTGAGAGGACAGGAAGGAGACAGACGAACATAGAATGGTAGGTCCAGATGTAGGTCCAGATGTAACTGAAAGACAAAAACACATGTTAAGGATAGAAAAAATAATTACAAATACAAAACAGGTTGAGCAGAGTAAGTAAAGACAGTAGCAGAGTGAAAATTGTGGTCAGATTGTCCTCCAGCAGTCTAAGCCTACAGCAGCATAACTACACTCAGGAAACCCAAGCCGACCCTAACTATAGGATTTATCAAAAAGGAAAGTCTTCAGCCCAGTCTTCAAAACTGGATAATCTGTCAGCCTAATGGACAGAAACTGGAAGTTGTTTCCACAAGAGAGGAGCCTGAGAACTGGAAGATCTTCCTCCCATTCTGCTTTTCGAAACAGTAGGAACCACAAGTAAACCTGCAGCCTGAGAATGAAGTGCTCTGTTAGGAAAATATGGAACAAGAAGATCTGTAATATAAGATGGAGCCAGGTTGTTGAGAGCTTTGTAGGTTAGAAATAAGATTTTGAATTCTATTCTGGATTTGACAGGGAGCCAATGGAAAGAAGCTAAAACTGGAGAAATATGATCTCTCCTACTAACTCCAGTTAAGACTCTGGCAGCAGCATTTTGGATCAACTGAAGACGTTTTAAAGAAGTATTTGGACATCCAGATAATAAACCATTGCAATAGTCCAGTCTAGAAGTGACAAATGCATGAACCAGTTTTTCTGCATCATTTTTAGATAAGATGTTTCTAATTTTAGTGATATTACACAGGTGGAAGAAGGCAGTTCCAGTAATGTTTTTAATGTGGAGGAGAAAAGACATGTCCTGATCAAAAATAACACCAAGATTTTTAACATTAGAGCTGGAGGACAGATTAATGCCATCCATTGCTCCCCATTCTGCGCTGTACAACATGATGATCACTGGAAAATTAAGATTCAAAACGGTCTGCACAGAAACCCGACAAAATACTGTTTTTATTGCACATGTTTAAGAACCTCTGTCAGACCAGTCCCTCGGAGTTTTGTTTTAAACTATGAACTGGTACATTTGCAGCAGAACTGATGATGGCTGAAGCCGAGGGCCTCGTGAACACTTTGGACAACTGGACAGTCGTGGACAAGTTCATCCTCTCCACCAAGACACCAGAGAAGAAGCGGATATTTGGCAAAGGCAACTTCCAGCTTCTCACAGGTACCAGCCACCTCCTTGTGACTCTGTGCACCATCTCCTGTTCATTTATTTTCATTTAGTTGGACTTCTTCCTCTCCAGAGAGAATCAGGCAAACAGCAGGAATCAATGCTGTGTTTGTGAATGTGGACCGTCTGTCCCCTTCGTCTGAGGTGAGTCTGTCTGAGCAGTCCTCTGGCTGTGCTTTGGGACAGCTATTCACTGTGGATTGTCTTTGCTCAACCACTTCAGAGGGAGTTTGAGGAAGCCTGGGGGGTAAAGGTGCTGGACAGATACTCAGTTGTCCTCCACATTTTCCGCTGCAACGCCAGAACCAAAGAGGCCAAGTTACAGATCTCACTGGCAGAGGTCCCCTTGTTAAGGTGACCACAAAGTTTTGTATAACTTTAATTTTTGTTGTTATGCTAGAGTTGCATTTGAGCCTAAAAAAAAAAATCCGGCCCGGTCCGAACCCGTATCATTTTTCTCGAGCCCAACCCAAAACCAACCAATTACCTGTGATTACAGGCCCGAACCCGAAAACCCCCCAACATTTTTATTTTTTAATTAAGCTTTTACTTAATTTTGTAAAACACCCACTTTTGTAAGCAAATCATTTTGACATGATATTTTCAAAACCTATTTCAAAGAAAGGAAGATGTAAGATTTCTTGTTTATTAACAAGAGTCAGCGGATTATTATAGTTATAATTAGGGCTGTTGTAAACAATAATTTTAGTAATCGAGCAATCTATCGATTATTCTGATGATTAATCGGAAGCATGATTTGTCAGGTTCTGCAGTAACTACTCATTTTACAAATGCACAAAAAAAACTTTTTAAGCAAACAACTCATTTAATTCCTCTTTTTTAATATTTTATTGCTTAAATTGAATTATTTTTAACCATCACATAAAAATCTAAATGCTGTAAATAATTTTTATGGGTTGGAAAACTGAATGGAATCTTTATGTTAGAAACTGAGTAAGACAGATAATGTAAAGTTTGAGTTTGTACATTGAGTTCTGCAGACTGTTTTATTATTTAGTCTTGATTGTTTAGCTATAAACAAATATGACATTAGTAATAAATGCAGATTAATAACAGTTTTTAGTCATAAAGAGCAGCAAGAAGAAAAAAAAAATCCTACTAACTTGTGTAAATACATTTACACTTGAAATATTCACCCTAAATATCTGAATTAAGTCAGGATGGAAGTACAGCAATAAATAAATGGGTCAGTCTGTTGCTGCTTTTATCGTTAACAAACTTGCATCGTTTTTTCCTCACACTACGTACAGGCCCTGCCAGGAAGCCACTATGATTAGTCAGTAGATTTAACGTTAGCAAAAATATGACTCATTTTACATTTGTAACATGACAGATTATCACACATTTAGGTTCACGTATTTTGAAAAGAGAGAACATGATACCTGTTACAGCTGTGGACGAGTTTGATGCTACAGCAGGTGTTTTCTCTTCAGACGCTGCAGCATCGATGACGTAACATAACCCCGATGTTTGTTTCTCTCTGAATAAATACATTAAATGGTAAATGTATCAAACTGTTTTGTACAACAGTTGCTGTTATTTCATTGATAAAATTATTCTGAATTTCCACTTTTTAAAACTGATTTTGGACCATATCATGATGGTTTTAGGTGTGTTTGAAATTAGCAGATAAGAAGGGGCGTGTGCGTCGGCGCAACCGGAGAGGAAGACGCACACCGTCAGATCTGTGCAGCGGGAGACTTGACTTGATTGAATGTTTAAAAGAAGTAAAAAATTAAAGAAAAGACATAAAACGACCATCAAAGTTCGTCCCAGCGCCACAGATCGAGCGTTTTAGAAACTGGACCGGAGCTTGCACCCAGGAAACACCGTTCGGTGCAAGAGGACGCAGCCGAGGGGAAAGAAAGACGCTCCCGGTGAGATCTGGACTTTACTTTTCCTTTTGGGGATTTTTGGTGGTACCACTATTTTTTTCTCATCTTTTTGTTTTTTTTTCTTCGACGTTTTGGATTTTTAATTTTGGATTGGGACTTTAGAGTAAACCGGGAAAATACTCCCAGGACTTTGTTTTGTTTTTTGAGGATATGGGACTCTTTTGCGGACTTTATGCTCATTAAAAAAGAACGTGAATTTGTGGACATTTAATTATTTAGGGTTTTTGTGCCGACACAAACTGAGTGGCTTAAATCTAACCTATAATTATTTTTGAAGGGATTTTTGGATACTGATCTATTTATCAGAATAACTTTTATTATTTCTTAGTATTGTGGTTTTTGTAATAAATCATTGTTGCTAAAAGTCAACAAATTTCATCTTGAGTGGTTGGATGTTTATTTTCTTAATCCAATTAAATGGTTTAACATATTTTACCTGATTCCTGTGATTAGATCCCCCTTGAGTATATTGTGAGTTCCGCTTTTGTAATCGAGGTCCTCGAATGATTCGAGGAATCATTTCAGCCCTAATTAATATTATAGTTATTAACAGTCGGTGGATGCGTGTGGCTGATGATCCAAATTGGGTCGTCGGCCATGTGTATCTGCTGACACAGTGGCTGAGTACATTTAAGCTTCAGGTGGGTCGCTGGCAGTGAACCATTTGGACTTTTTTTAACCTCTTTCAACTGTCTGGTCAGTGCATGGCTGGTGATTTAAATTGGATCATTAGCTGTGCGTGTTCGCTGACGCAATCAAAAGCCTGACACCAACCCGGCCCGCCCATCCAGCACATTATTTTGGCCCTGCCCAAATTTCGGGTGTGGTTAGAAATGACAGCTCTATGTTATGATGTCTCTGTGTTAAACTCTACTTCCTCTTTCAATGGCAGATCTCGCCTAAAAAATGAAATGGCAAACTTGGATCAGCAGGGTGGAGGATCGAGATACATCGGTGGTTCAGGTGACACAGCACCCACCGTTGACAGCCTCTGTTTACCCAGCGAGCCCCCCCTTCCACCGATTGTTTTTTTTTTTTCTCCAGGCGAGACGCTGTACGAGGTCCAGCAGAGGCTGTTGAAGGAGCGGGAGCTGAAGATCCGCTCGGCGCTGGAAAAACTTCGCAAAAGGAGGCACCTCCTGCAATCTCATCGCAAACACAAGGAGTTCCCCATTGTGTCTGTGCTGGGATACACAAACTGTGGTGAGAGGCTGGAATCACGGCCGCGTAGCAGGGACGGGACATGCGCAGCGCTTAATTTGTAAACCAATGATGCTGGAACACAAATAGCAGGTGGTCAGGGGGGCGGGGTTCCAGGGGTCCTCACCCATAAAAGAGATGCCAATTTCCTGCATTTTGGTATATTTTAACAGGTTGTTAAACGGTTGTAAACATTTGTTCAAATTTTAAAAAGTTAAATCTGGTCCTCTGGACATTCAAGAAAACAAAACACAGCAAAACAACAAAAAAATGTAGAAACGTTTCGTCTTTCATCCGAAAGACTTCCTCAGTCTGAGGTGCTGTTTTCAGCTCAGTCTCTTAAATAGCACCTTCTCAGAGTGGATCAACCAGTTTGCTGCTGACAACCAAAACCAGCTGCTCACATGCTCAAGAAGGACCATCAGCCTAACAATGGATCATTAGCACACTGATGGCTGTTTACTGTTCACAGGGGGCTGAGTGATACTAACAATAACAGCATTGTAAGAGGGGGACAATTGAACCCGGAGGCCTCCACCCCTGTTTAATGATGGATGGTTTCTTTTCACAAAGATGGCCTCCTTTACTCCTCTCTCAAACCATCGTTTTTCTACCTGAATTATTGAACATGCATCAGGATGTTTGATTAAATTGATTAAAAACTGCGCTCTCTTGTAAATGACAAAGCTCAATGAGACTAAACCTGTATAAATAAAGATTGAATTGAAATTACTATTTTAGAGAGCAGTGAATTATAGCAGCTCCAATTCTGTCAATTGTCCCAAGCCCACCTACCCCCCCCACCACCCCCACCCCCCCACACACACACACAAACTTCAATGTCCGAACTCTTCTCAGCTGAATTCAGTCCTCCGTGTTGTTCTGCTCCAGTCTCTATCAACCTCTGCCTTCAGGTGCTTCAATTCTCTGTTGTCCACTAAGGACAATCCATTCATACATTTATTTTACATAATAAATTGGACTGTCTTTTTGACATTTTGATCGCTGTTATTTTGACTAATTTTGAAATGTGATGTGAATAATACACATCAAACATTTCACTCTTATTTTTTTACTGTAAGCTTTTTGATTTATCTTTGAAATGTATGCAGGAGTTCTGACACATTAGCAGTTGTGCGCGCTCTGCAGAGCTGTCTGGAGACGCTCCTGTGCGTAAAACGTGCTCTGTCTGCAGGGCGCACAGCTGAGCAAGGTGAAGCTGACACCCCACCCATGTCACAAATTCCAGTAAATACAATGAATGGTCATTGCTACATTTGTGCTGCTTTAGTTTCTGAGACACAGCTGAAGGTGGATGAAGACTCTTCATCCCAGCTGGACATGCGATCAGCGTCTCTGCTGGTAGCAGTGTGTGCGCGAGCTTTTGCACCTGCTGCAGCAGTAACATCCACACAGACATGGACAACGTCTCCTGTCGTTGTATTTTTAATAAATAATCAAAATAAAAATGCGCAATGACTTTGGACTTTTATGGGCGGAGATATGAGCTTCTGGATCGGAGAGAACAGTTGCCGGAACGCACACGGTGAAAATGAGGGAGTTCCCGGATCTTGTTCCTGCAGGCTCTGGCTGAAATTAACCACTGGACATGAGTATTGTATTCTTTAGATCAGGGGTGCCCACACTTTTTCAGCATGCTAGCTACTTGTAAGATGACCAAGTTAAAGTGATCTACCTACTATAAAATACAAAACATATACTTATAAACATTTTAAGTGTTCTTTATTTGTACAGTATACAGGTCCTTCTCAAAAAAATTGCATATTGTGGTAAAGGTCATTATTTTCCATAATGTAATGATAAAAATGAAACTTTCA